GGTTCAAGCAATTCTCCCACCTCAGCCTCCCCAGTATCTGAGGTTACAGGCATGTACCACCACGCCCAGCTAATTTTTGTATTTTTAGTAGAGACAGGGTTTCACCATGTTGGCCACCAGGATGGTCTCCATCTCTTGACCTAGTGATCTACCCACCTCGGCCTCCCGAAGTGCTGGCCTTACAGACATGAGCCACCTTGCCCAGCCCATTATCCGTTTATTTTTAGAAAAAGTCCTTTTTACTGATGATCATTCAACCCTCATTACCATTTTTGTTGATTTTCTACTGTGAGCACAGGATACCTATTCTCTATCTGGATGTAGTATACTAAGCTATAACCACCTTTCCCAGGAAATCTTGTGTTTGCTGGGAGTGGCTTTTCCAGAAGCCTCATGACAGGAAGGGTCTGATTCCCACTCTACCAATTAAGAACTGAGGCCCTGGGCAAGTTGTCTTGCCTCTCTGATCAATTGCTGTACCACAAATAGTGTGCACTGTGTGGGGGGAAGTGATTAAAAATTTTGAAAAACAAATTAATTATTATTATTTTGTTGTTGTTGTTTTCTTTTTTAAAAAAAAAATATATATATATATATATTTTTGAGACAGAGTTTCACTCTTGTTGCCCAGGCTGGAGTGCAATGGCACGATCTCGGCTCACTGCAACCTCCGCCTCCCAGGTTCAAGCAATTCTCCTGCCTCAGCCTTCTGAGTAGCTGGGATTACAGGCATGCCCCACCACACCCAGCTAATTTTTTGTGTTTTTAGTAGAGACGGGGTTTCTCCATGTTGGTCAGGCTGATCTCGAACTTCTGACCTCAGGTGATCCACCTGCCTTGGCCTCCCAAAGTGCTGGGATTACAGGCATGAGACACCACACCTGGCCTCTTATTATTATTATTATTTTTTATAGAAATGGGGTCTCAGTATGGTGCCCAAGTTGGTTCAAACTCCTGGACTCAAATGATCTTTCCTCTACGGGCTCCCAAAGTGCTGGGATTATAGGTGTGAGTTACTGCTCCCTGACGGAAAAAAAAAATGTTTTTTGAGCGGGAAAGTAGAACTATCAACTTCACAGGATTATTTTAAGCTTAAATGAGAGTAATTTAAGCTTAAATGAGTAATTTATGCAAATTACTTACTATTTTACATGAAATAAGAAATAACCCTCATAAAGCCCTGTGAAATGCTCCATAAACCAAGCTTAAAAACAAACCACTGAAATTTACATTCAGAACTGCTAAAATGTGGGCCAGGCGGGATTGGGAGGTCAAGGTGGGCAGATCACCTGAGGTTGGGAGTTCAAGACCATCCTGACCAACATGGAGAAACCCCATCTCTACTAAAAATACAAAAAAAAAAAAAAAATAGCCAGGCATGGTGGTGCTTGCCTGTAATCCCAACCACTTGGGAGGCTGAGGCAAGAGAGCTGCTTGAACTTGGGAGTAGAGACTGTGATGAGCAGAGATCATGCCATTGCACTCCAGCCTGGGCAACAAGAGTGAAACTTCATCTCAAAAAAAAAAAAAAAATTGCTAAAATGTTTTCCTGTAAACCATCATATCAGAAGGAAATCTTTCCAAAACACCTCCCATCCCCTGCCTTGTTTAATGGTGTCTACTGAATTCATTTTAGCTCTTTCCTCATGACTCAAGGTCCCTGTTTTGCAACGAGTGACTGCACTGTCCTGGAACACAGGGATGACCTCAGTCAGGGGTTTTTCTACTGTCTACCCTCTCCGCCCTCTTCCCCACCCCCACACTCATAGCCCTGTTCATAGTTCCATAATATCACTTACCACACTGTGGCAAAAATATCTGTTTACCCAGCTTCTTGGCCTAGGACCCCTTTTCTCTGAGCAGGGGCCAGGCCCTCAGTAAATGTCTCTCCAGGCCCCATTTAAAGGGCTGGGTGTCCAGAACTCAGCAGCATGGCTTGTGTTCAATCATTCCGACACTTTAAAATGCCTCCTTGTCCTCGGCCAAGTACTAAAAGCACTGCTCTGTTTTATCTTTTCCAGATAACCAAGGACAGAAATTATATTCCTCTGTAGAATCTTGTAATGGTTTTCAGTTATTAAAGGACCAAGAAGATATTTACTCTTCTGGTAAAATTTAAGCCCAGTCTGTCTTCTTTGCTTTTTCATTTGGGGTCTTCGTTCTGCTTTCATTGACGGCAAGGATGTTGGAACCAGACAGCCCTGGGTTCAGATATTAATCTACCATTTGGTAGTTATCTGACTCTTAGTGAGTCACTTAAATTCTCTGTTACTCAGTTTCCTTATCTGAAAAATGGGATAATGCTCAGGCTGCAGAATTGCTGTTCACGTGGAGACGCAGTAAAAGTAGAAAGATGAGTAAAACTCCTCTAAGGAAAGAGTTTTGATACCTCTGGCTTTGATAACCTTGCTAGGATTGGGGCAGGGGTGGGACTCTAAAGGGCCTTCCTGAGTAATATTAGATGGATCTTACCCAGACTTTAAGAGTGTGGCCTAGTCATAGTTGGGCATTGCATTTGCAGAGCACACAGGTGAGTAGGACACCAAGGTACTCAGGGTGGCTGAGTCTGATGGTTTTCTTCCCAACAGCCATTCTTGCATTACCTTTCATCCCTTCTGTCAGAATCTGCTTTCCAACTCCAGAGACTAAAAATGCCAATACAGGTTGAACATCCCTAATCTGAAAATCTGAAATCCGAAATGCCTTAAAATCCAAAATGTATTGAGTGCCAACATGGTACTCAAAGGAAATGATCATCAGAACATTTAGGTTTTTTTAGGTTTTCAGATTAGGGATGCTCAACTGGTAAGTATAAAGCAAATATTTTTAAATTAGGGAAAAAAATCTGACATCTGAAACACTTCTGGTCCCAAGCATTTTGTGGTACTCAACCTGAATAATTTTTTTTTCTTTTTTGAGACGGAGTCTCACTCTACTGCCCAGGCTAGAGTGTAATGGCACAATCTTGGCTCACTATAATCTCCGCCTCCTGGGTTCAAGTGATTTTCCTGCCTCTGCCTCCTGGATTCAAGTGATTCTGCTGTCTAAGCTGAATAACTTTTACTGTTAGGATGTGAGCATGTAACCCAACCCCAGTGGAGGAGTTTAAAGGTAAGTCTTCTGAGATGTTTCTGTGCAAGTTTTTCCTTTATGATGTCGGGAGGCAGATGTAGTTATGTGTGGACATAATTTCTGGAGCTATGGCAGCCTTCTTGTGACCATGAGGGAAACTCTAAGGATGAAAACCAACAGGCTGGGGATGGCACGAAGGAAAATAGAAAGCACATGGGTTGGGTGCTTGATGATACTGTTATGTCCCTTAATTAACTAAGTCTGAAAATGGTACCCCCAGAGATAATAAACTTTATTGTTTAAGCTTTATGTAGTTATATGTTCCATTACTTGTTACTTTAGTATGCATTCAGCATGCAGTTGAGAAGGCTAAGCTTGGAGGGCATGGGGAGAAGGAGAAGACTTGACGGTAACACAGCAGAAAAGGAAAAGAGAAAAGTTGCTTCTGTTGTGGGGAGCACTATAAATCTCTACTCCACTCCTTTGGGGAAGCCTGAGTCAATTCCACATGGCTTATGAATACTTTTGGTGTTCATGGATTCTTCTGGGGGACTTGAAGAAGAATTGAGATCTACATCAAGAATGGTGCCCAGCTGGAAATAGCTGCACTTCTGGGATACATAAGAATTTGAGATCATATGCAATAAATGATAGATCCTGTTATTACTATATTATCAGTATTATCTTAGCCCCTGACTGGTAGGCAGAAAAGAGGTAGAAATTAGATGCTCGTGGATGGGACTGTACCCTGTAGTTGTCCTTGAGAAGAAGCTTGTGACCAAGGCTGTATGAAGACAGCAAGAGGACTGAGTGGCAATTGGCGGCAGCCTCAGCGGATGGGCAGCTCTGCTACTTAACCTCTTACCAAGGGACTCTGCAGATGGAGCAAAAGGCTGGACCCCAGTTAGCAGAACAAAGGCCTGAAATCAGAGCAGCTCAACAGAAGTCTGACTTATTGTTTTGGAACGTGGCTTCCTGAATTCTCCCTGACAAGAAAAGAACTGGTTCCAGATCTCAGGTTGGGACTGACCTTCAATCTTCCACACAGAAATGAAGTTACCTAAGAATGTTATACACTGACCGGGCATGGCTCACACCTGTAATCCCAGCATTTTGGGAGGCTGAGGCAGGAGGATCATTTCAGGTTAGGAATTTGAGGCCAACCTGGCCAACATGGTAAAACCCAGTCTCTACTAAAAATACAAAAATTAACTGGGCATGGTGATACACACCAATAGTCCCAGCTACTTGGGAGGCTGAGGCAGGAGAATCACTTGAACCCAGGAGGTGGAAGTTGCAGTGAGCCAAGATTGCACCACTGCACTCCAGCCTGGGCAACAGAGTGAGACTGTCTCAAAAAAAAAAAAAAAAAAGAATGTTATACACACACCACATATGCAGAAATATATAAAAATTCTCCTTGTCTCAGTCTCCCTTTTTCTCTGTATGTGCATATGTCCTTATCTTAACCTCTCACAAAGGGCCTCGAGTGCTAACCTAATTCACCCAGACAGCTACAGGGAGTCCTCAAAGCCAGGGATTTGCTTTGGTCAATGGGGTATCAAAGGACACAACATACACCATATTTGAACTGAAGTTTTAAAGAGCCATTGGGTATTTTGCTCTTTTCATTCTGCCACAGGGATGACAGGTCTTGCTTGAATGGGGGCTCCTCCTACAGCCTTGGTCCCTGAATGTGAAAACACATGGAGCAGAAGCAGAGCCTTCACTGATAGGTGACGGCAGACGTGTAACAGCAGAGTGAGGAACATTGGTTGTTACAACCCCTTCGATTTAGGAAGTCATTTGTTACTGTGGTAAAGCTGACTAGTAAATCCAGGCAATCACCCAGATTGCCAAGCTGGGAGAAATCATAAATCTTTGTTGTTTTAGGCCACTACATTTAGGGTCTTTGTAAGATAGGAATAGATAGCTGGAGGTTGTGTGGCTTGAGACACTGAAAAGGTTCAGGATTCAAATGGTGCCCGCAGGGTCCAGTGTCCCCACTTCTCTTAACTCCACTTCACCTTGGATGGGCTATTACCCCAGCTCTATGTGGCGGACTCCAGCAGCCTTAGATGATGCAGTATCTCCAGACTCATGTCTTTCCACGTTCAAGTCTAATGGAAAGACAGCTTCTTTTCTAGCCATGCCTACAAAATCCCTGAGATTCTTTCTGAATAAATAGACCGGCTGAGGTCATGGTTCCACCCGTGAGACACTCATTGTGGGGGTGGAGATGGCAGTAGCTTGAGAAGGAGGTGTATCTGTTATGAGTTTCTCAGTTGCAACTCAAACGGCTAATTTAAAAGGGGAATTTTCTTAGCCACATAACTAAAAAAAAAAAAAGAAAAATTGATGGATAGTTCCAACTTCAGGTGTGCTATGATTTGGAGCTAAAGTAATGTCGTCACTAGGACTCACCTCTTGACTTTTCAAAATTACTCACACTCTTGACTTTTCAAAATTACTGGCTCCCTACTGGGAATTATGAAAACAAGTAGAAGTGGGTTTTGATGACAGTAATAGGTTCCAATCAAATGTTTGGGTTCCTCATTTAATTTGGTTTCTACACGTAACCATAAACTATAGGATGTTAGTCTTGATGTATGGTCACAGGTTTGTGTGTAGCAAGGAATCAGTGTCCATGTAAGTGCATCTTTGTTTCAACTGCCAACAGAGACAAGAGTGTAAAATGGAGCCAGATTGCCCAAGCTCAGATTCTGGCTCCAACACTTCTTAGCTGGGTGACCCTGGGCAAGTTGTTTAACCTCTCTGTGCCTTGGTGTATTCATCAATGCTCTCTGTGCATTGGCGTAAAATGAAAGATGATATTCTCTACCTACCACATAAGGGCCATTGTTAATACATGTGAATCACTTAGAATAGTGCTTCAAACGTATTAAATACTCAATGAATGCTAGCTATTATTATTCCCATTTCTACAGAAAACAAATGATTACTAATAAAGACATTTTTTCAAAAATGACCATTTTAGATGGCAGGGGTTGGCTTGGTTCATATATTTTGCTTGTCAGAGAGAGAGAGAGTGATTAGAACTGTATTTGCTCATATTATGCATCAGAAAACATTCTTATATTATTCTGCTGTGTGTTTTCACCTGCCTCTGCATGTTCCCATCAGTTACTGAGCTGTAGTCTTCCAAGATCAATAACTCCCTTTATTTGTGCTTCTTTGTATGAAAGAAACAATACATAAAGCTCAACTAAAGCTATAGGGAGAGGCCGGGCGCGGTGGCTCACGCCTGTAATCCCAGCACTTTGGGAGGCCGAGGCGGGTGGATCACAAGGTCAAGAGATCGAGACCATCCTGGTCAACATGGTGAAACCCCGTCTCTA